TTTTCTCTGATATAGATATAGTAAATTCATCTGCTTCTCAGTCAGTTTAGGTGAATTATCACTTAATTTACTTAAATTATCACGTAATAACACTGAAAAATGAACCGTCAGAAAAAAGCTGGCTTATGTAACCACATACAACATACATTTGGATAAGTGTAACATCATGCTTTGTGCTAGAGAGCTTTACTGTATGTGCAAATAATTCCAGTTTCAGTGACAAATGCTAGGTAAGGTTAGAATAATAACCTTTCTTTTCCCCAGTGGCCAGATATCTGCGTCAGGTGTGTATTATGAAGATGGGCTGGGAGGATCCCTAAGGACCAGCTCTGGACAATCACTTTTGTGCATAAAGTCCAAAAGGAGAGTACAAACTGTGTCGGATTTATCTTTTTTGTAAGATTGTATTAACAAATAAAAGTTAATAAAACATTTTGTTGATGTGGTAACATCAACAGCAAAAAAACAAAGACCCACAATGCCAATGACAAAGCAAAACAAGACAGAACAAAACACCCAACAACACATATTTACTCCCCACATCAAACTAACAAGCTCAACCTCAGTATCTTCATATCTGCTTAAATGATGTTGAATATAAATAAATATACATCACGAATACACACAGAGAAATAGGGGTATCATTTCTGTACCCAAAGGTACATTTGTCAGAAAAGTGCCATGTAAGGTATGAAAAAGGTACTTAAGGTGATAACTGTGGACCTTTGTTTCATTTTAAAGGTACAAAATCATGGCTGACAGAAAGGGGTAATAATTGTACTTTTAACCAGCTTAAGGTACAGGAAACATGTTATAGCAAATCAGTGATCACAAAATCTTGATTTAAATTTAGATTTGGGTTTACTGAAATAAAACAGGCTTCTGGTAAATTTCCATTCAATTTTTGGTCTGTGTGGCCTAGGAATACTTTCATGGGCAAAGAACTAGGACAGCACTTGCCACACAGACGTTTTTGGGCAAGACGCCCTTTTTTAGCATGTATTGGCAAGTTCACAATGGATCTATTTGAGTGAAGTATGAAGTATTATCACTGATTTATGTCTGTTTTCTCATTCTTTGCATTCCTCCGTGGGGACTCGTTCTTCTGTATTTATTTTACTTTATTTTATGCTGTAGCCCTCCTTTATTGAGCCCGCGAGGAGTTGGGTAGTGCAACCCATTTTCTCCCTGCAGTAAACTGTGGCATGTGCACTTGTACTGTTGAAGCTTACAGAGATTAAAACTTGATGCTGTTACAGCATTCACTTGTTATGGACACATCTTTTCTAGCTGAACAATACTGAAAAGTGTTTAAAGATGTAAACTAATTGTTATTTCTTTAATTAGATTTTGGTGAATAATTGGAAATGGCCAGCGGTGGCCTAAAGGTTAAAGAGCCTGTGACCGGAAAGATATCCATTAAATCCCCGAAACTGGCAGGATAAATTTGTGTGAGGAAAGTGAAGAGGCAGCACTTGGGTGCCCTTGAGCCTTGTAAGACTTTTAACCCCAACCGCTGTGGTTGCATAATCTTTTTGTACCAGGACATAAAGGAGCATTTTTGTCACAAGGGTACAGAAATGTTCTTTTAGAGATACAGAAAAGAAGGTACAAAAATGTACCATGTTCAAAGGTACAATGCTTATACCCTGTTAGTGACAATGCATTTGTACCCTTTTAGGGTCAATTGCTGTGCCTTGATTTCTTAGTGTGTGTGTTTTTTCTCTATTGAGTACCCGTATCTTTTATGCAATAACAACAATATGATCCTTTAGCTTCCAACCGCTCAATTGTTATACTCCAGGTAGTTTATTGTCCACCTGTCATACTTCTAACAGAGAAACTAAAGAAATACATAGAAAGCAAACAAAAACCTAAAACCAGGTTAAAGTATAAACGTAACTTCTTTATTTGGGCTACTCTACTGTCTTTTCCATGTCCAAAAGATAACACGTTAACTGTGTCAGATTTCCCAAATCACTGGTCTAATTGTTTTGTATACAGATAATACTAAAGTGCTAAGTTACAATTGTGTAGAAGTTAGAGGATTCTTGTCCTTAAAGTCTGTCTTTATAGCCTTTAACATGGTTCCAATAGACGTAATGGGAGATATCTTTCAAAATGCTCCTTTTGTGTTTCCCTGGACAGTGTTTCTGTGGTGTGGTGGGAGGTTAGAAACACAAAGAGGGAATGTCGCACTAAAAGTCTGTAAATGTGGAAGAAACTCACTTGATTTGTCTAACACAGACTGTTGAAGCCTCATATTAACTTCAGATAAACACTGGAATGCGTTTTTACACAGAATCAGGACTGTGGGTTTTTGCCAGTATGGAGAGTAGGAATGAGAGGAGCATGCAAGCAAAAACTAATTCAGGGAATTATGTATGAATATAATGTAACAAATGGACATGTGAGTGTTTTAAGACAGCATTGAAAAACTGTGAAACACCAGCACTTGTTTTACTTCACTTAAACAACATGAATGATTTTCTTTGGATAGTGTGATGAGTTTTTTAATAACTGGTTTGTCATAATGAAGTCTACAATCTAATCAAGTCTTCCACCTCTGTCATCTTGATAATGTCTCTACTGGGCACTTTAAAAGCGGTAACTGGTACACAGAGACTGGTACATTTCCCTCTGACTCCATCAGCTCAGACTGTGTGCTGCTCAGAGTTAGCATAAGCATAAGCATAACTTTGTGAATGTGAGTAGGATCCTAAATTAAATAAAGATAAGGCTCTCCTTCTGTCATTAGGCTGCTGGACTATCAGTCAGTTACTGGCTATGTTAGCGTTATGAACAATTTGCATTTGTATTTGTCAAAATGTCCATCTTCATTTTCCACAAGTATCATTATTTGTTGCACCGTTCTTACTTTTTAAATTACATTAGAATAAAATAGAATAAACTTTATTGTCCCTGATGGGAAATATGTTTTGGGCACAGTGCTACAATTTGTTGCTTCACAGAAAAAAACATACCACAACAACAGACACACATCAAAAAAACAAAATCAAAATCAACAACACAAAAAAAGACACTATAATTTTAACACTGACAATATGGCAGCTTAAAAAGAGACTGAAAGGAACTATAAGAATTAAAGTGCTACTGTGCTGGTTTCACATTACACTTGCACTAACTCCATTAGCACATACTGTACTCTATTATCTAAATATCTAAATATATGAACACAAATTTGGTTGCTCAGTCTTTGGTCAGGTAAAAAGATTGTTGATGTGTGCATAAACTTAGTTAGTCATGTCTCTTTTGTTAACTTTCTGTTACAGTATATCATGACTTTATGTAATTGCGTTCCACAAAGCCTCAAGCTGATACGAGTGTCTTTCAACTGGATTGTCTGCCTCAAGAAAAAAAATATGACTTCCCCCTTGGACAATGAAAATTTGCCAATACAACTGCCAGGAACTGGAGAAATCTTGTGACAGACCACAACAATGAGAACCTCCCTGCAGGTCTCACAGGTCGCAGAGCCAATCACAAGCTGCTTATTAAAAAAAAAGTTACGTTTTCTTTTCTATGTAGAGAATTTTGTAATCCAAGTCAAGTTAGACCCTAACTTCAAATAAGGACATGAATATTATGAGGATATCCCTAATTAAAAAAGCGTCATTGGATCATCACACAGTGGTGAAATAGCAACAGTTTTCCACGTGTCTTGCTTTCTGCACCTGTTAGCTAGCACATTAATGACCTCTAACTTTTCTAATCTATTCTTGACCAGAAGACCAGAACACCAGAATTTTGTACGCTTCCTAAATAACATTGTATGCATACGATACCCCTGAGGTGTCATTTTAGCCTCTGTTTCACACCTGTGTTGTCATTTACAAACTATGAGGTGCAACTACCTACAGCAAGTTTCTTCTTTCAAGTGAAGTTACAAAAAGGCTAAAAATTAACATTATTTTCCATAATTCTGCTGATAATTTGTATTACGTATTTACTGCACAGTATCGTAGCTTTTCAATTACAGTGGGCATTTAAGATAAAGTCCTCCAGTTAAGACATTATTCTACTACTGTGTTAACTAAAAAAGGCTTATTACACATTCAACATCACTGAAACGCTTTGTTCCATACTGTCTCAGGAGCTGCCTGGTCTGTGGGGGTGATTCTGTATTTGTGTTTAAATGTGAGACATCGACTGTGACCAGTTTGCCTACAGGTTAGTTACTGTAACATCTCTTCTTTGAACAATCAGTGGGGACCGTTCAGGAATGTTGTTTGGAAATGTCTTCTTTCCTGATACCCCCGCTTGAACAACAGTGAAAGTCGATACCCCACAACAAAAACTGAACACAGCCCGGCACCAGCAGGTTATTGCGGTGACAAAGCACGCAACAGAAACTCAGTAAGAAGACACTGAGTCACTAGCAGCCACAGGCCAGCAGGATGGGCATTAGAGGCGTCAAATGAGCACATTAGCTAAAAGGATAAAAGTTGATACTTATTCGCACTAAAGACAGAGAGGGATTTTCCTGAAAGCTTATATTACCAATCTGACCTGGTTTAAATTTAATTTAACTTTATCTCCTTACCCTGTGGCTTATGTGTGTATTGGGTAACAAATAGTTGGAAGGCAGGTAAAATAAAAAAAGAAAACCCAAGCATTAGGTGACATAAGTGTATCGAAATGGACCATTGTGAAAAGATAAAGTTTATGTTTATTGCTGAGTGACACTCTACTGACACTGCCCCCAAACCAAATGTCATAACAGGATCATACTGTAACAATTTCAGTTTTCACTAATTCATTTCTGATAAAATAATTTAAGGTTTATAAACTGTATTGATCTAATATTGTCCCTATATCAAATATCTGATGTTAGAAAGTCATTGTGCACACTATAAAGTATGTTTGGTTACATTTTACTGACTGGTAAGAGCCTGGATGAACACTCAATACAAACAAAATGCTGTCCATTAACAAAAGTATCAGTTTAATTTAAAAAAAAAAAAAACAACAACCCAAACTTACAAAGCACAGGTAAGATTACAATATACAAAATGTAATTTTTACAGTGTGATTTCAGACTTCTCTACGTATTATAAATATACAACCGTGTACAAAATCAATAACTTAACACAAAAATGTCCTTAAATAACTCTTATCGTGCAACAAAGACATTTTACATCAGGTATCATAGGCACTGGCAGATTGATGATTACAATAAACTGATCTGTACCCTGCCTGTTATAATGCATGGTGTTTCCTGCCCCCTAGTGGCTGCAGGCTGTGCATTTTCCTGTGCAGTTGAGCCTTGGCCAGGTCAGCTGACAGTCTCTTGGCCATTCGGTCTGTGGTCCTCTTCATGCTGCGGGCCACCTCAATAGCCTGGTCTAAGGTCTTGTTCATTTCTTCCTCCTAGAAAACAGTAGCCAAATTTCCAATGAGCTGACCATGAAGAAATGTCACAGAAACAACAAATAGTTGGCCCTTTTATGAGCTACAGAGGAGACATCTTACCTTGCTCCCTCTGCGTCTGCCTGTCCTGCTGCCAGTTTTTGAGGGCACTGATACTGGGGACAGTGTCCGCTGGAAGTACACATTGCTGGGCAAGAGTGCTGAGTCTGACTGGGTGGAGCGCTTTCTGTGATGGGACGTGGACTGCAGCATTGGCTCCCTCACTTTATAGCTGAATTTGAGGACAGATAGCAAGAAAGAACGATTCCACTTTAACTGAACTAGATTATTTAATAACTTTCTGCTTTCAGTGAGCGATGTGTTTGTGTTACACTTGAGTTGTGGGGTTACCTTGCAGGCAGGCTGCTGGAGGACGCGTAGCTGACCTGGAGAAGGGGCTTCTGAGGAGGTGGAGAGGAGAAAAGAGACCATCTCTCCTTGGAGTAAAAACGCTCCATGACGGCTGCTGACCGTAGAAACATGACAGCACTAGTGTGTACACTAATTAAACAAAAAACTGCACATATTTACAGTCCTGGTTTTTAGATTTAAGTTACTGACTGAGGACTTTTTATTTATGATGATTATGGTGGTGATATGGCACTGATGGCTGCTGTTTGTGCCGGGGTTGCTACTCTTGTGCTTTTCTAGTATATGCTCTGAAACCAATTTGTCTAAATATAGTTGTTTTTTTTTGCCGTATGCAAAAAAGGTTGATGTTATAAACATTAGATAGTAAAATCACTTACTTTGTACTCTCTGCTTGGCATGGCTGTCACAAGCCTCCTCATTCCTCCCTTTTAAAATGGAGCTGGTCAGACCAGAGTTTTTCCCTGAGCCATTTCCCTCTGACCCTGACAAAGAGTAACACACACATCCCATTTTGGATACAATATCCCCATGTAAATGATATACACAAGATAAATTGTTACATAGAATTAGGGTCTTTATGGCGCTGTACTGTGAAATATAGCTGTGGCTCTGACCTCTGTTGGACTGCAGCTGCCCATGAGGTTTATATTGCAACATAATCTCAGAGCCAGCCACGTCATCACTGTCACCTCAAGAGCAAACGATCAAAACCATAATCGGTGATGGAGGAAATATACGCACACAAACATAGATACAGATGTAGAGACATGCTGTGAGACGTGTGTGAGTTTTTTGTTGCAATTTAGTGTGTTGTGTTGGTAAAGTACCTTTGCTCTTGCTGGGGTCCATGTCTGAAGAGATCCAGTCCTCTAGCCGCACCTGACTGGAGCTGAGATTGCTCACATTTTGTCTGCTACTCGATGGCTTCCACACACTGATGGTTAGAAGAAAAGAGGTCATAATAATGATTGTGTAATTAATAAATGGTAAGAACATGATAGGACTTTGAATGCTAATCCTACACTTTTAAGTAGTATCTGTATTTTTCATGCCAGCTTTTTACATAGACATGTTATGATATAATGATTAGGTAAATATTAACCAAATGTCACATGAGTACACTCCAACAATGCCCCTTATCCTTCTGTTGCTCCACTAATACCAGCCTTGCAGGATCAGTTTCCCACCTGTTGCAGGCTGGCCTGTGGTGGGTCCGAGGTCGGGTTTTAGACTTGCGTTCCTGACGATCCTGTCTGTATTTGCAGGTGAGATAGTCCATCTTCTGTGCTAGGTGAGGCAGCTGGACCAAGCCCTCCTCAAGGTCCTTCTTCAGTCTTGACACCTCTGACTGCAAGGCCAGGATAGCCTCACTAAACACACACAGACATTTAAAAGATCACAATGTAAATAGGTAATGGCATAGAAGAAGATGATTAAATGTTTATCTGCGTTGGTGAAACAACTGCTTAAAGTTCTAGTTTTTAGCAGTCAACCAACAGTACTAGCTGCTTCTTAGCACATACAGACCTATTACAAGAGCAGGAATACAGTGGGCTGTCTGTCTCTTCTGTATCCATGGTGGTGCTGAGTACGGGCTCAGATACGTGCTGATGGAGCTGAGCAGGTGGTCTGCCTTCAGATCCTGTGCGGTCAGTGGTGGAGATGCATTCATGATTTCAGTATTGACCAGATAAGGTGAAATCAAAAGAGAAATTCTTCATGAAGAAGGATTTGCTCACCCTGCAGCCTGACTGAGGGCTCCTTAGTGGTGCTCTCCACCCACCGCTCCACTGCCACTGCCACCCCACAGGACTGTGTTTGGACTGATGGGTGGGGACTGGCCCACCGCTGGCTGGTGAGGCTGGCTGAATGGATGGCGGTCTGCAGGTTGGAGCAGGAGCCCTCACTGTCGGAGCTACTTAAAGCATCATTCTGGGACTGCACACTGTAGTAGGGAGGATGAAACTTGAGTTATCCTTACATTAGATCTATATCATATGTAGACAGTGTCATTGTTGCTGTTTATGTAGATTTGTACCTTTCTGAGAGCAGATTTGGTTGAAATGATCCAGAAGCTGATTGATTCAAGTAAGAGCTCCCAAATCCACTATCTGTCTCTGGGCTCACAATCCTCTGACACCCAGAAAAAACACACATCAGTTTAAAATAAAGTACCCAGTGCATCCTACACACCACTGTACCTGAAACGGCAAACAAACCAATTATTATTATCTGTGACCGACCTGTGATACAGAAGAGGTGTTGAGAGGCGGCTCTGAGAGGCTGTGGGTGCTTGAGACTCTGGGTGCATCAGAGGAAGCAGAGACCTCCACAGCCAGACTCACACAATCACCCAGATCACATTCACCCACTGGGTTCAGGACACTGTACAGGGAGCTACAACTGCAGCAACAACAATTGAGATATTTAGAGGCTTAGCACTGGAGATGAGGGGAGTTAAAGTAGTATTTTAACAAATAGCAAGGCATGAAAAGCATTTGATGATTTCATGATTCAGCTAACTCCTCTTGGTATAGTGCATGCTTCCTATTTCTGTGATGACAATACATACAGTATGCAAAAGTAGCTCACTTACACTGTGACAGGATTACAAGAGCGATTACTTGTATGAGCCTTGCATTATTTAAGAGCAAACTAGTACTGAGAAGCCACAACAGAATAAATGAGTCACAGTTTGTTCTTTTGTAAGATCAGGTAGACTTTAATATCACAACACTAACCTGTCGGGCGTCCACTCTCTCTGTCTTGAGGATGAGGTCGTTCCACTCAAGTATGCTAAGATGTTACTGTGATCTATCGCCTCTGACAAGACAGAGCTCCTCTCCTCTTCAGTCTCAGCTGTCTGGATGTCCAGTCCGCCCAGAGAGCCCTGTGAGCTCCTGAAACAGAACAGAGAAAAAAAAAACCCTGCACACATGAGACTCAAACACTCAGTGGAACCTAACCCCACACCGCACCTGAAACACTATCTGCTCCATGAGAAGCCAGGGAGTGTGCCTATTTGAGCACAAACACACACACAAGCACCCCTCAAAACATCAATAGCGAGACACAACAGTGACAGTGAAACTTGCACAACAGTGGTGCATTATATTTATATATCCTATTAATTACTTTCATTTATATACATAGAATTATCAATGGTACTTGTTTGAATAGATTTTTCTGTATGCAATAAAAAGGGAAATATTATTGGAGACATTTTAACATTAAAAATGTTACCTTAAATACTGTAATCCGTCATCTGCATGGGCCTCACTGGCCTCTTCCTCTTCTTTTTTTCCCTCTTTCTGTGTCTCTATATTATAACCCACAGTGGAAAAACCTGCACTTGGTCCCTGAAACATGAGACCCAGTCAGATAATTTGCAGTTAGTGTAATCTTACACAAACACCCACTCAGCATTTACTCCACGAGAGAATTAATCCCAAGTTCAGGTGCAGGGTGTGGATGCTACAAAACAGTGCACTCAGTTCAGTGCATTAACAGGCTAACATGTGATTATGTTTCACATACACGTGAGGCTGATGGGAATGTCATTTGTTTGGCTGATATTTGGTCATAAACCAAAATGTAAAGTTTAAACCTGATGGTGGTACTAAAGGAAAGGTCAGAGGAAACCTGTTGGTGGCGGGATATTAAAAGTCAGGTTATCATCAAAGTCGTTCATAAATGTTTCTACAAAATAGCTTAAAATTCTTAAGGTTGAAAAAAACAAACAAACAGGAAATAGGAAAGTAATATACACAGTATAGTGTAGGTAATTAAACACTATAAACTATCAGAACAAAAAACAATATGTATCTAGAAAAAAGTGATTAGTTAGTTAACTGTGATTGTCAATATGTGCTGCTAACAATTTCAACAAATGTAGTGACGCTGAGAAAATCATGAACTGAAGCCTCCAAAAGTTCAAGACAAATTGTTCAACATTTAGGCAAAATTCAGTCAAGAAAAAAAATTATATACTTTCTCGAGTGAGGTAACTTTACATTTTTTAATCATTAAAACCAGTTTAGATGTGATAGATTTTTTGGAAAATGGTAAAATGCATTTGTTGCCACATGGAAACTAAATGCGAATATGGAAGTGATGGTTACTAGACTATATTTACAACTTTTGATTGCATTTAAATGGGAAAAAAAAACTATACTAAAACTAAACTAAACTTAAATAATTTGTTTATATTTTGTGATTTCAGACATTTTGTAACTATAATGTATTGTCTGGATTACTAATTACACCACTGGAAATCATTGTGCAAAAGGAATTATGATATCCCACCCAAATAATATGTTGGTCCACTTTTGTCTACAATATTTAATATATTGCTGTTTTACAGGTTACAAATACACTGTGATATATAGTCCAGATAGTACGGTAATTGGAATTGTAGGCAGTATTTTGTGCTATTTTGCCATATGCTGCTTTCATCCGTAGAACATGTAAACCAGATTCTTTTATGGGAGAGGGAAAGAGAACGGGAGCAGAGTTTGCTCTTCCTCCAGACGGGAGTGAGGAAGAGCTAGTGAGCACAGTGACAGCTCAGAGTCAGAGGAGCACAGATATAGAACCAGAGAAAACAGGTAGAGGTATTAGATAGTTACCTCATGCAGGGATGGTGGAGGTGAGGGTGTGGCCAAGCAGAAAGGACTGGGGCTCACATGCAGCATCTCTTTCATGGGCGTAGGAGTGGAGGTTGACTGGGGAGGAGAAATCTGCTCACACACGTTTTTGTCTATCATCTCCTTTATGTCCTCAAGGTGCATCCCTATCCTGAATATGTCTCCCTCCACCTGCCTGCACACGTGTTAACGCACAAACACATACATATGTACACGCATCAGTGGATGCATTAACATGATTCTGACACATTCACACAGGTGCGATAGCGGAGTCTCTTTAACCTGTTTGGGTCAAAGGTGCCAGTGTTCCTGGACAGGCCCATGTAGTTCTGCATCTCCAGAGCTCTGTGCTCTTCCTTCTTACTGATGTATTTTCTTTCCAGCTGGTCCTGAGCCTCCATAATGCTCCTCAGTATCTGACAATGGACATATTTTTAAATGATAATGCATCTCAGAGACATACAACAATTACACAAAGAGCTACATATAGGCTGTAAACAGTACTTACCATCTGCTGTTCTGCTGTGCTCACTGACATGTTGCTTACGCTCAATTTGAATTCTTCCACCTGAAGTGAAGAGGGTTCATAAATGGTTTTACACGTCTGGTCTTTTCATGGTAGCTTTCCTGGTATATCTTTAAACTTACTTTCTGCATGAACTGGCGGATGATGTCTGTCAGCTCAGCAGTCATTCTTTCCCCATCACTGGGACCCTCCTCAGGCTGGCTGGGAGAAGCTGTGTTCACCTCTTTAATGTTGCTCTTGGGGGTTGTTGCTTCTTTTACACCAAAGTTTTCTGAAGAAGAAAACAAGACACTGGAGTGACACAGACTGGACTAAGGCTGGCAAATGTCCTTGATATTGAGTCTTTGATGAATTTTACCTGTCAACCTTGTACAGATAAGTGGAATCAAATGGTCATTTTATTCTTACCTGTCTTTACTTCACCAGTGTACTTGATGAAAAACTTAATATTTTGTACTTTCAGTGTATATATGCAAAATGTTAATTTGAACATGATATATGCAGTTACTGATGATCTCATGATTAAAAAATACAATACAAAAATCAAAAGTGAAATATTTTAGTGTGGCTAGGTTCTCAAGTTCACAGTCATTGTTTTCTATTTAATTAAAGTGCTCCAAAAGCAAATAAAATGTGTTTGCTCAACTAGAATAGTGTCATCTGACCCCATTTATCTCTATGGAAACCAGTTGCACTTCACTGCGTAATTGGTAGGTAGCGAAGCAAAGTGCTGACCTGTCATAATATCAGATGTCAGACACAGAGACGTACCTGATGGGGGAAAGTGAGGAGCCAAGGATCCAAGATGGCTTCCCTCCACTCCAGCTAAGTTTCCCTGATTATCATCATCACACTCGAAATAAAGCATTGGTTCTGAAGAGAGCTGAGTCTGTGAAAAGATCCATACATTTGCAATTAAAATGTGACTCTTGAATGCCAACACAACTCAGGTCAGTCTAAAAAAACATTTACTTACATTGGTTCCTAGTCTCATTTGATCTATAAGGTTCTCTGCCTCAGCATATCTGGTTAGTAATTTATCATATTCAGCCTAGAGAAATATGGAGTGAGACAAACGTTAGTCCTACGCCCCATGCACAGCATTCATATTTGTTACTGTCTTCTGAATGTTTTCTACCTGCAGGTGATGCACCAGTGCTGGAGGAGTCTCTTTGTTTTCGTCTTTGAAGACATAGGGCTTCTCTGACGGCTGGACTGAATCCTCCAGGACTCTGCTGATCACCTCTAACATCCCTGGAGAGGACTGGGCTCTGTGGATGGTGCTGGGGCTCTGAGGAACAGGTCTGGCTGGTCCACTTGGAGCTTTGGGGATTTTTACTTTGGGGGCAACCTTGGAAAAATCAGGGAGCGGGTAATGGACTTGGCCCTGGCCATACTTCATCTCACTGAAGGATCTGGTGCGCACAAGGGCGACTCTCGGACCCTCATCACCCTCTTCTGTCTTTTCCTGCTGTACTTCATCTAGGGCACTTGTATCCCCACTGTCCTGCTTTGAGTCAGTGCTTGCAGAGCTGGACGTAACGCTGTCTTTAGCAGCAGAGGTTACATTATCAATTTTCCTTTCTACTTCTTCCTCTAAACTTGAATTTTTCGATGCACTTCTACTGTTTTCTTCAGCCCTGCCAGAGCAGAAACTCTCAGAATGAATCTCAGAATGACACGCAGCACTCTCCGAGTGGCTATTATTGATTGCTGTGCTGTTGTGTGTTGGAGCCCAGCTAAAAACGGTGTCATCCATGCTCTCCAGCAGGGACACCTCCGGCAAGGTCTCTGCCTCAATCAGCCTACCTGACCGCAGCAACTCATCCTGGGAGAAATGTCGCAGCAACAACTGGTTAATGTCTGCAGGACAGTGGCATGATGGGGAAACCTCACTTGGCTTGGAGGCATCAAAAAAAATGTCCTTTTTGGTGTTGGCATCCTCTGGAGCCGCAGTTGTTGGTTCCTCAGAATTGTGCTCAACAGAATCCAAGCGATCAATAACATCATCTCTATCTCTTATATTACATTCAAGCAAACCCGGAACATCAGGACTTGCATGAACAGTTTCTCTTCCATCGGAGCTCATGTTGCCCTCAGAGATAGCTGTCTGGTTGAAGTAGCGTCTTCCAAGGTCACCATCATAAGGTAGGTCATCCTGATCTTCGTCACTAGTATTTTGCCCCGGGTCGTCACAACCCTGGTTTAAGGGAGGCTGATCTTGCATGGTGTTTGGTCTTTGGGCAGACACGTGCAATATGCTGCTCTTGCTCTCTACTACCCTCTCACTCTGATCGCTGACAACACTGGACTCTGAGGAGGTAACATCCAAGGCTGACAACTCTGCACTACCTGCTGATACAGAACACCAACACAAATACCAAATAAGACACTTGCATAGATTTAGTCCTCAGTCTTTGCATTTATCTTTTTTAAGATTGCCACTTAATAAAAATGACAGCTCCGTTTTGTGACCCTGCCAACATATGTCATTACATGTATTTTTAACTGTACCATTTTTGGTTTTGTCACATTACATGTCGCCAACAAAAGAATTAAACCTCCAGGAAAACAGTGTGCCACAAAGTGCTTTCCATATTTTGAATTTAAATTCATGTCCAATCCTACAACCACCACTGTAGTGAATCTGTGAAGAAGACTGTAGCTTGTGCTTCAATGCAAACTTTTGTTATAACACTGCAAATAATTATTCAGACAGCATGATGTATGACACAACAAGCCAGTTTAACATCCAACAAAAAACTCAACAGACAGAAATAAACTCCAGGACTTACCACTGAGATGGATGCTGACCTCTGAGGCAGCAGACTCTGTCTGAGACAGATGTAAAGCTAAAGAACTCTCCAGATCACTCAAGTGGAGACTTTCATCCTCACTTAGGTCAACAAAGATGCTCTGCTGAATGCACTTCTCCCAGATCACAGTGGGCTTGTCCTCTCCCTGAACATCCTCATCTGATTCCTCCAGTTCTCCCTCCATGGACACTTTGTCTGTAACAGAAAATGTCACCCTCTCTTCACCTGTGTGGGGTAAGAAAGGAGGCTGGAACACCTGTTCATCACTTAGCAACGCAACTTGTGAGCTGACAACACTGGATCGAAATGTGCAAAGCTGTCAATTATTTAACAATCGATGCATTGTGTGGGCAGAGGTTTGCGTGACATAAGGATGTGAGCAATTGAGTGAATGAAGTTTATGGGTGAAAGAATGTGTGTGTGTGTGTGTGTGTGTGTGAGAAACAGTGGTGGGAGTTTAAATAAGAGTAAAAGTCGGGCCGGTTGCACACAACACCTACAGATAAGACACTCCTTAAAGTCCAAGATAAGGTTTCTTTAAAATAATGATCAGTTACACAAAACACTCTCCTTAAGATGTTCACTTAAGTATTTAGGGTTTTCTCCTTATCTGGCTCTTATACTTAAGGAATCTCTTCATGTTAATGAAACCATTGCATAACATTTTAGATCTTAGTTAAGTAAAACTTGTTGTCAGGGTGTACATTGAGTCAGACTTTATAAGCTAATATATTTTGCATGTAAAATCACAATGCAATAGTAATAATATGTAGGTATAGTAACTATAACGGTCAAATAAATGTAAGTAGTAGAAGTAAACAAGGATTCAAGGTTATTTTACTGTCAATTTTTTTGTTAATTTGTATAATAAATTGTTGAAGAACTGAACAGCCTCTAAACAAGGTAAACTGTAGAAAATGGAAACACTCAAGTGAAGTAGAAAGTATTAAAAACATGATTAAATACAGTGCTTGAGTAAAATATAAATGTTACTTTCTACCAGGTGAGTGAGGACGTGTGTATTGAGAAAGCTCTGAAAGTAAATACACCACAAAGTGAACTGTCAAAAAAAAAAAAAAAGCTATTTAAAATGTGAGTGTCTGTAAAGTTACTGCTATACTAAATGCTCAGTGAGTTATCGTGCTGTTGTGTTGTGGTAACTTACTGAGGGTTTGAACTGGTCCTTCAGCAGCACTGCGACATTAGCGTTAGTTTTAGGTTGATCCGGTCCACGGCCATGCTCTCTCTCCTGACATCATCCTGCAACTACCTACAGTATTCCTGTCTCTTTCTTTCTTGACATATGGTTCCTCGGACAGGTTTAGTTTCGCTGCCATCATTAATAATGTAGCCTACCACCACGGCAGCGCTGAGCGTCTGGAGCCGGACGGACAGCTGTACAGGCAGGAGTCCGGTTGCTAGGTAACGGCGGTGAAACCTACGCCAAAAGACCACCGAAGAAGTCATTTGGCGATATAAAGAAAATATGGTTTTGGATAACCTCAGTACATTACGTATTTTAAGCTAAAATGATGTGTTTATTCAGAGTTTGAAGTAAAGGGGCTTTACACTATCGCTTCCTTTCACAACACGGAACGGCCGAGCGGTCTTTTGTGCTGACTTTGTAAGCAAAAGGGTGTCAAACGTGATAAAGTCTGTTCGTCAGGTACTGACAGCTTAATGATGACATACGTCATCTCTTTCCTATTCAAATCTATTGGTCCAATGACTGTTAGGCGGGGCGTGGCTATCTTTGAATGTCGTCCTCTGATTGGCTACTTGACGAAAACACATAGGCTTGTTGTACAGCCGCAAGGTTCTTCTCCTTTCTCACCGGAGTTCAATCGAAGTTTTTATAAAAAGTTAAAGAGTAATGTAATGTAAGTCTGGGTATAGTACAGTCTGTCCCTAAATTACGGACGTCCGTTTTATGTTTTAAAACGGACCTATTTTTATGTTTTTGTGATAAAGTAAAGAGAAGAAGAGAAGTCACCATTGTTCGAGCTGGATCGACTAACGTAAGTTTTTAAGCTAACATGCTAAGTGGCCAGTCTTAAGCCAGTGTGATACTGTGTAACCAGAGGCTGGTATGAAGCAAAGAGGGGCAAATCCACTGCCCCAGGTTGTGGCTTCGAGCTGGTGTTAAACTTCTGACGGTAGCAAATATAGTGTGGTGTTTACAGTACCCTGTTTAAAGCTCCCTCAAGTAGCACTAAAATCTGTCTGAACGGTGTTCATACTGATATGGATGTGTCCAGTAGAGATTAATTCATTAATTAAGATTATTTCATTAATTAATCACTGATCATTTGGAATTAGTATAATCGTTGGTGTTGGTTGTGATATATCTTTAAGAATCACAAACACTAAATGAATATATTTTAAAGTAGTACACATAATTAGAGTAATTGTTTAACTGTATTTGCCTTACATGAATATGGTCACTTAAATTTATTTCATATACCTGCATTAAGATTGTTCATTAACATGCCAGTTTAGTAATACACAATTATACAGGCATACACACACTCTTATATCTATAAACAACACTGACAGTATTAGTAGCAGTAGTAGTATGTGGCATATTTACACTCATTGTTTATTTGGTATATTAAAATGAATGCAGCCTTGCAAGAAATACTAAAAAACAGTTGAAAGGTATTTCAAAAGGGATTAAAATATATGGTCATTTTGGAAGCTGTAGTTTGAGTGTATTGTTTAAATGTATTGCATTATATTGGAAAGTGTTTCTAATATTTAGTCTTCGCTCATTGAGTGTTTTTTATTTATTAGGTGTACCTGGTTTATTTGTACACCTAGTTTAGGTAGTTGGTAACTGGCAACTGAGTGTATATATCAAATGGAGTACAGAACCACCAAGTCTTTATTGTAAGTTTGTTGTTATATCAGATTTGTATCCTAATGTCCATAATTAAATACACAAACTCAAGTAACCAAGTTCTACAACAGTTCATTTAGATGTAATGTACACTTTTCCTTGCAGGCTTTCCAGATATCCTGTTCCTGTGAGGAAGAATTACCGGTCAGTATCCCACTATGTACTTGTTTCTTTCTTTTGTTTTGGTGCGGTTTTTGCTGGCTCATGGTGTAATGCTGAGTGGTGTTTCCATATTTAGATTTTGCTCTCAGTGGCAGTACCATTTTAGTGCATCAATGGGCTGTGAGCACGAAGAAAATAGATCACATCTGCTGTGTGTTTAAGGTGAAATCATGTCCTATTTGTGACTCAAAAGAGTCAGTGATTACCTCCCGTGAAGGTGTCATTAAAAAACAACCTCTTGTTTCCTTTGATGTGTGTTTAGTCATGAATCACTTATTCCTCTTACACATTTGTTCATGCTCACTGTAGCTTTGTGAGCCGAGAATGTTTCTCTCAAACACACCCAGCTGGCATACAATGGTGGAAAAGGCTGCACGAACACTGGCACACATTAATCTGTGATTATAATATGTGCAGGAACACGTACTGCACAGATTCCCAAAGCCCTGGGCTTTACTTTGTGTTATAACCAACATTCCGCGTAGCAGGAGGCACAATAAACTGAGCAAAGAGATTATTTAATTCTCTCTAAACTTTTCTTTTCAGACAGGTTGGTTAAAACACAAATACTCAATGTATATGGACTATAAATGGCCTGGGGCTGTTGTTTAGTTAATTCATGGATTATGCAAAGATACAAACCTCTTCTTTGGAAATTGCTATAGTAAATCAGCCGCAAAGTTACCTGTATATTCATATTTGTTCATGTGCACAAACACAAACAAGCTCCAATCTTTGTATTTTTCAGGAGGCCCTAAACTATAAAATGTTGCCCCAATTCTAAGTTTATTATTGAGTTTCTACTGCCCCTCATACTGCGGTGTTCACAGAGAGAAATATACCAGCTTTAATATTAGTTGGCCAACAGATTCAGACATCAACAAAGAATGATTAAGTTGTTGCATTTTGTCAAAAAAGTTCTCATTTTTTTGTTGCGGTTTTGGTTTTGGTTGTAATCTGTTTTTAAGATTTGTGCTCTTGCAGTATGCGCTCAATCCGGATCTAATACTTAAATACAAAATACAATACAATTCCTAAGCAAGCCTATTGTAAAAGAAAACTTCTAATGATTTTTTAAGTAAGTACGTAATATTAAATAAAACAAAAAGTAATAACTTTTATGATTATAATTAAGAACGACTCAACAAGCTTAGGAGTTCTTGGTTAATTGTTTTTTTTTTGGGGGGAAGGTTAGTCTACCATCTGCCTGTGCTGCTTGTATTTGACGGAGACGCAGACAGATATACAACCAAACTGTTTCTCATATTTTGGCATTTAGATTTAGGTAATAATAGGGATGTGTTGTGCGAAAGAAGAAGGCAATGTAGCATATCATTGAGTGACCTTTGTGTAAAGTAGGGCTGAACATATTACTGGAAAAAGAACACAGGGGTGATCATTTGTGTGTGTGTGTGTGTGTGTGTGTGGGAGGAGGGGCTGGTAACTTGGGGGACAAATGGGTGTGGCTAGTTATGACCTCATGGAGAAATGAGGTAGTGGTTGGCCCCGGTCTTTACTTGGTGCAGTCTATCTTATCCATGTAGCTTGCTTATCTCTGTCCTTTCCTTTGGTGGAAGTTGCACACACACACACACACACAGTAGCTTCATCTGTTTTGCTACGTTTTCCAGAGCTCCAGTTTTAATTTAGTGACCTTTTTTATGCAACAAAATCATGCAACAGGTTGCTGGTCGCTCTTTCCTTTCAGTGGCTACCCCTGACTTGCATTCACACACTCTGGAGATTTTTCCTGCCGTCTGTGCTTGCATAGGTTCAATTCTCTGTGGGGTTCATTGCTTACTCACCTTGTAGCAACTTTAGCGCACACGCACATCTCCAAGCCTGGATGAACTGAGTCACCGTCTTAGATTGACAGCTCTCCCGTGTTGACCCCGTCCATTCATTCCCATCCTGCTCTCTCGCTCCCTGCCTGCCATACTTGTGCACGCTGCTGTTTGGTTGGTGTTGCCATGGCACCGTGTGGCCAGAATGAGGCTTCACATACAGCATCTTGTGTTCTCTTCACAGAGGGCAGCTGACGAGATTGAGGTGCGGTGACGCAAAACACACAGTGTATGAAAGCAGCCGTGTGGACTGACACTCAGGACTCCGCAGCTCTGTCT